CCGCAAGCGACTCGTTTCCCATCAACAAGGAGGAACCTCTCCCGACCTGATAAGAAGAAAACAGGGAAATATCAGCACACACATGAATATTAGCACCAGTATCAACCCACCAATCAGGTGAATGAAAAACAGAGAGAACTGTAGGTAAAAAATTACCGTACCCCGATGTTCCTCCGCCCTCGCTAATAACCATGTTGGCAGACTTCTTGTCCTTGCGATCAGGACAATTCTTCGCCCAATGCCCAGGCTTATCGCACACAAAGCAGTCGCCCTTGCCCTTTCCCTTGTCTTTCTTCTTAAAATTGGTTGTAGCCTTTGGTTTGACATCAGGCTAGACTTTCTTGTTGTTGTTGTTGTGGGATGCGTGAGGGTTCTTCTTTTGCACCAAATTGGCGCTAGAATTTCCCTCGATATTTTTGCCCCAGTTGTCCTTTGCTCTCGCCTTCTCCTCAACACCCAAAGAGCCAATGAGATCAGTAACATTAAACTCTTGCCTCTTGTGTTTTAGAGAAATAGTAAAGTCCGACCAAGAAGGTGGCAATTTGGCAATAATGCCACCCGCCACAAACTTGTCCGGCAACTCACAGTTGTTGTTCTCAAGTTCCTTTGCCAGCATCTGAATCTCATGAGCCTGTTCCACTACAGAACGGTCATCGACCATCTTGTAGTCATAGAACTGCTCCATGACATACAGCTCGCTGCCGGCGTCGGAAACTCTGAACTTGGCCTCAAGTGCATCCCACATGTCCTTCCCTAAAGGCATGTGAATGTACACGTCCACTATATTGTCAGCGAGTACACTGATCAATGCTCCACGGAACAGGCAATCCGAAGCCTCGAACTTAGCCTCCTCCTCAGGAGAGAGAGGCGGTTCACTTCGTTTGCCCCGTGAAACATAGAAGCATTGCATCGCTGTCAACCATAGTAGTGCACGTGCTTTCCATCTCTTATAATTAGAACCATCAAAAGCATGTGGTTTCAGTGTTGCAGCAAAGCCAACTACTGAAAATGACCTATCAGGTTTTTGGATTGTTGGAAATTTGGTCATAATTCGGCATATTTTAATCCAAAATAACAAGATAATAAACATGATATTTACAATGGGATTTGATCCAGTGATAGTGGTGAATGTAATCAACATGAGCATGCTTAATATAGAATAAGCATCAACAATCACATAATAACACAATGTTGACATTGCGATGAACATTAACAGTAAAACTTCTAATTGAAATAATGTAAGAAGGTTATACCCCAAGAATGGTCCTCCGCTGGAGTTTGAGGCAGTATTGCCTCCGTTGGTATTGACGGGAGCCTCCGTCTCCTTGTATCCAGTGTTGCCGTTGTCTCCAGTGTTCGACATATTGGTGAATGTGAAGTAGATGTTGACGAACAGTGAGTAGTCGCGCCTTGCGCTCCCCAAAAACCTGATCGCCCGCCCGTCCGTGCAAACGTCGCAGCAGCGCGTGGTTTCGGAGGCCTACTCTCCCAACGCGTGTGCACACACTCGTCGGGATGGGATTACCGTAGCAACAACAACATTGGAAAATGGATGAAAGTGTGTCTGACTGTTCTCGCGGGAGATCAAATCCATTCTCATTTTATAAGAGGAATGGAAGATGAAGAGTAAGAGTCATGGAATAGGAAGAGGAATAGAGCAACTAATTGTCATCAACTAGCCATGAACCATCCTCCACTACACAACCATCAACCAACAATCAATTAGGAGTAATTGATGTAAGTTACCAATGGAATAGGAAGAGGAATAGAGCAACTAATTGTCATCAACTAGCCATGAACCATCCTCCACTACACAACCATCAACCATCCATCAATTAGGACTAATTGATATAAGTTATCAATTCCCTAATCAAATGGATTAATTCTCAAAACTCTTCATCCCATTGATATCCCATAAAAGAATGAATACACATGAATTCCTAGCATAATGAGCCTTGGAATTTATTTGATTTAATTGATTTAATGGATCAATTACCCAATTAAATCTAACACGGGCATCTCTTGCTACGCAAGCTAGCAGCATGGTTCCCCACCACCCGAGAAGCAAAAGATTGGTAGTTTAGCATATCCGAGGCAACTAAACTAAATACGTCTAGCTCGGGTCTCTATCTTCAGGTTAAGGACGTATAAACGGAGCGAGTTTGATTCTATTGCATGGGATGGCATAAGTAGAATGAGTGGTGGCTAACCCGGTATACATGTTTTGACCTGGCGATATAAGGTCATGTTCATTCATAGGACATGTTATAATCTTAGCAACCATATCTGTTGAAAATGTTTTACCTTCTCTCAATCTTAAGGTCGGGGCATTTCTTCATGGCCGACCTAGCGAAAAAAAAGAGTAACTTCGTCTATCTGCACAGGAGAACCTCCAGTCTCTAGGAGCCAATGGGCCATGGCAAAACTACCAAACGGCAATGAAATACTTGGCGACGGATCGATGGAAGTTTGTACCGGTTTCGGCGTTTCGACAGCAGGGTGACAGGACAGAGTATTCATTTCATCCATCGAAGTAGAAGCACGTTTTTTCCCTTTTATTCCAAGAAAGAACAAGAACGAAATTATTGTCCTTTGCGGGTGTGATTGAAGATCTGTACAATGAACGCCTACAAAGCCGATGGGCTCTGCAGCAGCTAGCCGAATAAACCAAAGAATATGAAAACACAAACGACATTTGCAATTTCAGTCCATTAGAGCAAACTGATCGAATCACATGCTTAATCAACATGAACTAAATCACAAGTAAAGAGTTCTGACACGACGATTTTTTTATTTTGTGTAATTATTGTTTTATTATAGCAAAAGAACTTTAGCATCATTTAGAACAGACATGATCGATTTATTAGCTAAGTTACCGGTTTTCTTGCAAGTCGTTCTCCTTCAGAACATAGAATGATTATCTAGAAAACCTTGACGACAATAGTATTTCCTCTTCCGTGCTACTTTCTGTAATTGTTTTGTATATCATTGGTAACTCCTTCAATTGACATGTAAAGAGCTGAAATTTGATTTTCATCGCATCTGCTACTTGATCGAATATTCTCTTTATTGGAGGGGCCTTTCTTTGAAACTATGTTTTCGAGTACCATCTCTACTTCCCTCATCGTAGGCCGCTCTTCTCCTTTAAATTTAGTACATGTTGCGGCTAGTGTTGCTACTTCCTGGACTTCTCCATCTTCCTCTTCCCTAACTTGAGAATCTATTATGTCATAAAGGTTACCTTTTGAGACAAGTGAGACGAAATGTGAAACAAGACCATCGCCATTATCAAATGTACCACCAATTGGTTTCTTCCGAGTAAGTAACTCCATAAGAAGAACACCAAAGCTAAAAACATCACTCTTACTCGTAAGTCATCCAGTATAATAGTACATGAGATCCAAGTAGCTAATTGTTCCTTGAACGGCAGTAGTTATTCCCATTTCATTTATCGAGATATACCTTGAAGCTACAAAGTCAGATACCTTTGCTGTTAGGCTGTCATCAAGAAGTATATTCGAATATTTAATATCTCTGTGAAATATTGGCATTGATGCAGCTGAATGTAGATATGAAAGAGCTCTAACAACTTCAAAAGCTATCCTTAATCGATCATCCCAAGGTAATGATGATGACACCGTGCCTTCAATATGGAGATGATGTTAAAGGGTTACATTTGAAATGAACTCATAAACTAACAATGGAACTTCTGTCTCAAGGCAACATCCGAGGAGTTTTACCACATTTCTGTGGTTCACTTGGGAAAGAATTGCAACCTCATTTATGAATTCATCTATTTCTCTTTGGTGTGGCTTGTAGGTTGTGGAGGAGCGGAGCATGCGAGGGGTAATGGGATACCGGTGGTTGTGTTCCCTAATTCGAAGTCTACTCCAGAGGGGATTTCTACTGATGAGCTGTTGAATGCTCTGAGGTTGGTTGCTTTGATCTCACCTTCAGGCTTTGGCATTCGATTTCTAGTAGCTTTGTAGCTCATCTGTTAGGTAGGTGTTAAAATAAGTGGATTTGCAGAAACAATGGTAGACACAAGGCACACAACATCTGAGATTTTTCACACTTGCCTTAAGTCTTGTTTGAAAAATGCATACATGATACATTGTTGTGTTGTTTGCTGATAAAAGTTTTCTAATCCATTCACCTGTCTTATGTGTGCGGGTACTGTTGTTCGAAGCCGTCAAATGAAGATGAATTGATAACTATTTTAAAGATTTTAGTGTCTACTTATTGAATGTGTGTCACTACCTTGTTTTGCCAGATGAACTTTGATATCAGTTTTATGCTCTGGGTTGACGTTTAGTCAGGAACCTATTGGAGTGTGTTCTTCATCAGTTGTACGGTGTGCCCACTCAGTCAGTCAGATTAGTTTCCATTTTGTTATTGCCTAGCTGATATACTGTAATGTACCACTGTTGATTTTTTTCACGAATAGCCACTGCATGTTTTATGGTGTTTGTAGATTTACTTATATCCTCTTCTACAAGACTGGCTCGCCTACTGCGGAGATTTGTTTTGGTTACTTGCAATAGGTCTCAATATTCGGATCAATCTATCCTTATTTCTTATGTGAAATAGGGAACTCAGGGTAGACTTCATTATACTTGCTGGTTACGTGAAACTTATACCGGTTGAGCTAGTTCAGGAATATCCAAAATCCATTTTGAATATTCACCCTTCACTACTCCCAGCATTTGGAGGCAAAGGTTATTATGGTTTGAAGGTGCATAAAGCAGCCATCTCATCAGGGGCCAGGTACTTCGCAATTTCTCTATCACCCATCACAAGCAACTGCTGTGCAGTTTGCGTATCTACTCAATGCTATTTCCATGGAAAGCAATATCTTGGCAGTTAATTTAAGCTGATATCTCACATTGTAGAACAAAACTAAAGCTCAACTATACATAGGTACTCGGGTCCAACTGTGCACTTTGTGGATGAGCACTATGGCACAGGAAGTACTCTAGCCCAAAGGGTTGTGCCTGTGCTAGCCAATGATACTCCAGAGCAATTGGCTGCAAGAGTCCTTCATGAGGCAACATATCTTATGCTCGGCTAATATTTCTTTGATGGAAATGGCTATGACAATTCACTTAGCTGCAAATGCAATTGATGATATACGTTCTTTTGCTCATTTATTAACCTTACTTTTCAGGAACATCAGGGGCCAGAAGCTGGCTTTTATTAAGTGCAAATGAATTTGGATCACAACTCAACACATATAAGTAGAAAACGACGACATATACCACCTAATTGGACAAAAGGATTGTTGGTAACGGTGACGCCAAAAACACAATATCAACGAGGATACCTTTCAGACAACAACATCTCCTCTTCCATGCTGTATTGTCTGCTCATTTCCTTGCTTCCCTGGCCTGTAACTAACATGTAATGCTTTGTAATTTCAGATGCATTACATCTACTTGATTTTACACTATGTGAAGCAAGCTTCTTCTTGACTCGCAAGTTTTCAAGTGTCATTTCCACATCTCTCATAGTAGGCCGGTCTTGTCCATTCAATTTAGTGCATGTTGCAGCTAGTGATGCTACTTCTTGGATTTGGTCTCCATCTCCCTCCGTCATGACTTGTGGATCTATTATTTCAACCACCTGACCTTGTCTATGAAGCGAGGCAAAATATAACACAAGACTTTCACCGTGATCAGTCCTATACATGGGCCTTTTTCGAGTGAGCAATTCTATAAGAAGAACACCAAAACTAAAAACATCACTTTTATCTGTTAGATGACCTGTATAGTAGTACATGGGATCTAAATGGCCAATTGTTCCCTGAACTGCTGTAGTCACTTCAGTTTGTTCAATCGGAATATACCTTGAAGCTCCAAAGTCTGATACCTTTGATATTAAATTTTCATCGAGAAGTATGTTGCATGCCTTAATATCCCTATGGAATATTGGTATTGTAGTAGCTGAATGTAGATAAGTCAAGGCTCTAGCAACTTCAAGAGCAATCCTTATTCGATCATCCCATGGTAGCGAAATTGGTCCATCAACATGAAGATGGTGATCTAGAGATCCATTTGAAATGAACTCATAAACCAACAATGGAACTTCTGTCTCAAGACAACATCCTAGAAGCTTCACCACGTTTCTATGATTGACTTGAGAAAGAATTGCAACTTCATTTATAAAGTCATCGATTTCTCTTTTTACGACAATCCTTGATTTCTTAATGGCAACAACTTGCAGGTCTAAAATTCCCTTATACACGACGCCATGTCCTCCACCACCAATTTCACGAGATTTATCAAAATTGTCTGTGGCCTTCTCTAGCTCTTGTAAAGTCATGATCATCCTTTGACCAATATCTGCGTTTTGTGATACCAATCGTCCTAATAGCAAGCCATGGTTTTGCCTGAAAAAAGTCTCTTTCATTCTTTTCATCTTGCGCAGCTTCATTTTGCTTGATATAAAGGGAGCACTTAGTGCGAGGAGCAAAAGAATTGTGCCACCACCAACCCCAAGCCCGATGCGTAGACCTAAATCTCGTGCTAGACGAAGATAAATTCAATTGAGAAAGAAACTGTCAGCAAGGGTCATCAACACACAGTGTTTTTAGTGCTATAGCTAGCCTTACAAAAACGTAACCTTATATATACTAATTAAGTTTACAAACAAATGGAAAATATATGCTACATTAATTATTATCACCTTGCTTCATCGGAATGCATCCCTCCTTTTTCTTCGCATCCCCGTAGGTTCCATTGTTGCATAAGCAAATATAATCTCCAGGCAAATTAATGCACTTCCCATAACACGGGTAAATATCATGGCGCGCACATTCATCGATGTCTAGATGAGTACAACAGGCGAATAATGTGATCAGACATGCATTTTGATCATGGAAAATAAATCCTATTCCCTCCGTTTCAAAATGTTTGACACCGTTGACTTTTTAGCACATGTTTGACCATTTGTCTTATTCAGAAAAATTTGTGAAATATGTAAAACTATATGTGTACATGAAAGTATATTTAACAATGAATCAAATGATATGAAAAGAATAAATAATTACTTAATTTTTTTTGAATAAGACGAATGGTCAAACACGTACTAAAAAGTCAACGGTGTCAAACATTTTGAAACGGAGGGAGTACAAAAATATGACGAAAGACAAAGGTCTATACTCTATATATGGCGTTGATAGTAGTGTCTGCTTAGATTATATTGTTCAGATAGAAGAAAAATGAGCCATTTCATAGTAATGCTTTGGAGGTTTAGAAATTACTACGCTAATCATAGAAAAGGAAGATCATACACCGTTGATTGTAGTATGGGTACAGATTATAATAGTCTACACTAAACCAACGAATTCGCATAGAGATACACTATAAAAATTCTGAAATTTGGAATTTACAATATAGAATATAGAATATTAAAATAAGAACGTATGTGGAACACAATACCACTTTTAGAGTAAAAGAATAAAATAAAATCATCATTTAATTCAATAAGAATATCTAAGTGAAATTAAAGGACAGGTAAAACTCCCAATGAAACAAAAATATTAATTAATAAATATGTAAAGAAGTGTCCTTGGCAAATACATATTAAGAAGAGACCATTTTAAAAAATACATTTTATAAATACTAGTAGAATTTATAGGACTAAAAATATTTAAAATATCAATACTGTAAAATGACATGAAAATAATATTATTCGTAATAAAAACAAATAAAAAAATCAACTATATTTCATTTCATTACAAATTATATAGTAAAATCCCTATATAACTAAATTTTGGAATAGAAATAAAAGTAAGACCAAACATATTAACATAAGAGTCCATGCCAAATACAATCCATGAGAGTAAATGATATTTTTATTAAAAATAGTAATTGGATTGCATGCAAATTTCAAAGTAGAATCTTTAGGTGTTATGATTTGGAATATAACAAAAAGTAAAAAATAAAAAAAGTCAACATCAAACACAAACAATTGGACTTTGTAATAGAAATATAAATATTTAATTTAGTTTGATACAAATTCTAAATTAGAATCAATATATTATAATGGAAATGATTATGTGGCGGTCAAATGGAGAAAAAATGATAACATATCATACTATCCACCAAAGTAAATGACTACAAAGATGAAGGCAATTGTCTATAGTATTGAAAAGTGAAAACTTTAGGTACAAAAAGTTTGTCAGAAAGAAGCATTGATAAATAGCGGATAGATTTATTTTTTTGATTATTTCAATATAGAGCTAGTGTTACGAGGAGAGGATGGAGAAATAGAGGTTTACACAACCAGAGTAATGATTTAGCATCTCTAGTGATATTAATATAGAGAAATTTTATAGTTAATATATCTTGAGGTACCTAAATTTATTAAAAAAATTTGGTACTCCATATGTTGAAGTACCAAATTTTATATAAAAAATACGATACCTTTTGGTACTTTCTCAAGGATTGTAAAATTACCCTTAATATTAATAGCACTTGGTTGTGTGTGTAATGTGATACTGGCTATTAGATACTTCTTCCGTACTTGTAAAGGAAGTCGTTTTGGACAGCGACACGGTCTCCAAAACACAACTTTGACTTCTATTTTCTATAAAAATATTTATTGAAAAGTGATATATGTATACTTTTATGAAAGTATTTTTCAAAACAAATCTATTCATATAATTTTTATATTTTCAAACTAAACAACTTGAGAGTTATTCATGATTTATATTCCCAAGATTTAACTTAAACATTGTCCTAAACGACTTCCTTTATAAGTATGGAGGGAGTATACTCCATTTATAAAGATATAGAAACAAATATTCAATAGATTCGTGTCGCAATGGACAAGAATTGAGAGAAACTAAATAACCAAATGTCTCATTGTAAGTTTGATCAAAAGGAAAGTAGAGGCAAAACTTTGAAATAAATCTATCCTTGTACAGATTTGTGGGCAATCCAACTAGCTAGCTAGTTTTAGTTCACCTTTGCATCCATCTTTTGGCGATGGATTGCCCTCGTAGCCACGAGGGCAGTTGCAAATGAACGATCCTGGTGTGTTCCTGCACTCGCCGTAACTGCAGTATCCAGAACTGCATTCATCCGTATCTAGCAAACAGCAAGGGCGTATATATCAGTTAGGAGTTGTTTTTTTTTCTTCATTTTGAACGGATATAGGAGTATCAGTTAATTAGAAGTTGATTGTTGAAGAACATGAAGAAATTAAAGCAGCAAGGGCTTATATTAATTAATTACCATGGCATCCATCAGGAACGTAGGGATTTCCTTCGTAACCTTCGGAGCAGCGGCAGATGTACGCCTTGTTGTCGTAAGTACTGTCGCAATAGCTGTGCGCGCTGCGACATTCGGGGGCGGACGCGGGCAACGGACACGCTGATGAACTATTTATGTACCAGTCTAGCCGTGCTGGGAGCTCTTCAGGACTGCTGTAGCCGAAAGACATGTCCAAGGTATAGTTAAATCTCTCATCTACCAAGTACACCAGATCATCCGTTCGATTTAGCACGACGGCCTGCTCCTGCAAGTTCTGGACCTGGATGCTGTAGGCAGCAGTCGAGCTTCCTGCTAGTAGCATGCTTGTTTCACAGCAGCCAATCCCTGAGCATGGACCCTCTGGACCAATATCGAGGATAGTGGTAGCACCACCTCCATCGTCTGTTGGGCAGATGGCAGTGCAGGAACTGAGCAACTTAGTACTAGTTTTGTTGTTGTTTCTCCCAGCCGCGCGGACGTCAACCCGGGCGTTGCAGCTTAGCAAAGCTATCCTGTTTGAAGCTGCCACGAAGTACGGCCTTCCCACCTGATCCAATAATGATCTGTTGACGGCATGATTGCCAGTAGAATTGAACACCATGCGGCCGCTGTTGATGCGCACGGTGGCTTGGGGGATGGCGATCTCGAGCACCTGCACCGTGCCGTCGCCGAGGAATAGCCTGGGCGGGCTGTAGGAGTGGTTGCAGGTGAGGTTGAAGCCTGGGTGGTAGCAGCCAGGCTCCACGCAGAACGGGTACTCGATGCTGATCCCGCCTGCAGCTGCTGCTGCTGCTGCTCCCGCCTGCAGCTGCTGCTGCCATGGCAAAGAACGGTAGCAACAGCATCAGTAGCGAGGCTGCTAAACAGCAGAACGACGACGACGACGTCATAACTTCTCGGCCGCTTGCTACCCTCTGCATCATCGATCTCTTCCGATGTCTGTATATATTACCATCTATTCAAACTATTGCATCTACATACTATTACACAAACGGCCTAGTTGGCACTCCTGGAAAAACCATTTTTTCAGACGAGATACCTACAGGAGGACGAAAATTTTACCACCACTATTCCGCATGCAAGATGGGAAGGGGGCAAGATGGCCGTCTGCCTACGAAAATCTATCTTCCGGCCGGGTTGGGGGAGGAGGAGGGGGTGGGGCGGCGAAGGATGGGACGGTGGCGTTTTTTTTTTGTTCGCCGAGAACATTTTCGCAGGCAGGTGGCTACAACGCTTGTGAAGATGGAGATACCGCCTATCAAAATCAGCCAATGTCCGCTTGCAAAAATCATGTATTTTCATAGGTCTTGAAGTGCAGGCGGGGTGGATGGCCATCTGGAAAAATCATTTTGGCCCGTTTGTAAAAAAAAAATGTTTTCTAATAGTGTGGTGAAAATAACTATAACAACTTGTAAATCATTTGCTGGTCCATACAATCAATTTGAACAATTTGGTTATTTGAAATGAATAATATAAGAGAGTGTAAGGTTTTATATTGATATAAAAGGAAAAAAAATCACAAGACAAACATTAATTCATTGAAGGCTATGATCATTTATTACAAATATGATGGTTAAAGCTTTATGCCATCAGTACTTGTAAGTACTAACTAAGTACTACATATGTCCCATAACAATTGTATTTTTAGGATTTAAATTTGTCTCAAAATAATTATCATAATAGAGTACTAACGATGTGTTAACGACCAAATTTAATATATCATAGATTGGATTTGGAGTCAAAACCGAAGCGGATTTGGAAGGAGTTCGTTATTCTCGGAAACAGAGTACGCATCGGATCGTTTGCACCGGCTAATACCGAATCGGATAGGGAGAAGCCGATGTAGCCAATTTTGGCAAAGTGATCTTAGAATCATTGTCGGGATTGATTTAAATGTTCCACAAATATTGCCAAGCATGGATTGAGTCCGAAGAAGGCAATTGTATCTATTAATTAGGATATTCTAGTAGTTTCTTCATAGATTTTCGGTAAGAGTCTGCCTAAAGTACTTGTTCGTATTTTAGAGTTGTAATAGAAGTGGAGTCGTGTTCGATGTGGACATATTGTATATTTTGGGTATAAATATGTGCCCGACACCTTGTAAACGATTAACACCAGTTCAACAACACTTTCGGCGCATCGCCACCTTTTTCTACTTTCATTGTTTCGACGAGTTCTTGCTTTCGAGTTGGGCTGCATCGGTTACGATCTCTGACGAGAGGTAAAGCTTGTTATGGCGACTTGCGTTCTCGGGATTAGTGCTTACATCTTTATGACACTCTAATCTTGTTTATGTAAATCGTCGAGTTATCATATATGCTATATAATCTAGATTGACATTACTATCTGGTCTTGTCGACTAGCCTCCATCATCGAGATCAGCCGATAGAATTAGATAACTCTGTCGGGTTAGATTATATAGTATATCCACCATCTCGAAAAGGCTTTCATTGGTTTGTTGATCAGATCTTATGTTTCTCTTTATGCTTAATGCTGCATCAGTTAAGTTTGATCTATTAAGTAATATCTAGAACCATAATATCTAACTTGCTTCATGATTGCTAACAGAGATAGCATCGGAGTTTCAGCCTATCTTACCCGGTTTAGCTATCTTGTTCTTCACTTATATTTACTTGATATGCTAAATCTACCCTTTATATTAAGATCTCACTAAGGTGAAATATATTACGCTTGATATTGATCTACTTAGGTTATCATTCTTGTTTAATATATTTAATCTATAATAATATCTTAGTATAAAGAAGTATTGGAGCAATAGCCAACACACGCTAGATTTACCTATTGGCTGACATGAACTTATTTAATCTTTACCTTGAAGTACTTTTAAACATATGTTATTTATACTGTCTCGGCAACATCCGATCTACCCTGATCACGTAGTTTAAACATATTTTGAAGTATAGATTATACATTGTTAATATCTGCAGCCGATAAAGTGAATTTAGTTCTTTATCTACTATATACTTTATTGCCGATCCAAGTTATATTGCATCGGCTTGATATCTGACGAAACGTCATCGGCAATCCAGCCGATCGGCTATCGTTTATAGATTTAACTTTGGTTTCTTTTTTTCTTGTTGGTTGCAGGATCAAACCAACTGGCACGCTCTAAACCCGAAAGCAAATTTAGAACCTGCACTAGAGTAAAGCAAATCTCTTAGGCCAGTGTGTGTTTTTTTTTGCATCAACACGATCTCATAAATCACTTCTCATCTAAATTTCTTTCTATTTTACCCTTTCATTCTTACCTACAAACCATTCAATAAGGGTTTTTCAAAGCTTAATATATGTTAAATAACTTAGAATTACAATTAATTTGGGATGAAGGTAGTACTAAATAATACACGTAAAGCGTCTTGCACTACGCCATATCCTCAACCTTTGACGACATACCTGTGATGGGCATAAGTGTTGGTCAGTGATGAGGATCACCTTTGACAGGTTCTACGGGATGCCGCCATCGGTAAGGCATCCGGCTACGGCCCGTCACAGGTGACTAGATACCTGTAACGGGCCATACAGATCCAGCCCGTCAAAGATGTTATGAAACCATTTCTAACGGGTCCTCTTTTTTTTTCCGTCACAGGTGGAAACCACCCAACCCAATCCTTATCTATCACCCACCGACAGTCCGAGACCACTCATCTCTCGTTTCTTAGTTCTTCCTTATCCATCCCCCTCTCTCTCTCTCTCTCTCTCTCTCTCTCTCTCTCTCTCTCTCTCTCGTTTTTCTTTCTTTCATCCTCCTCCGCACGCACCAAGCTTGCACGCGCCGAACACCGGGTCCGGTGGCGGCCTTCAACTCCACGCGCGAGTAGCGGCCACCACCGGCCGCATCCTCCTCCGCTTCTCGACCGCCGTCGGGCGCCGCCTCCCTCAGCCGCCTTCTGACCGCCAGCCGTCGGATCTGGCCTACGGGGCACGGATCCGGCCACCACGGGCTCTCCCCCCACCGCCGGCCGCTTCCTCCTTCGCCTCCCGACCGCCAGCCGGCGCTGCCTCCCCCGTCTTTCGACCGCCGGCCGCCGGATCTGGCCTATAGGGCGTGGATCCGACCACCACGGCCTCTCCCCCCACCGATGGCCGCTTCCTCCTCCGTCTCCCGACCACCGGCCGGCGCCGCCTCCACCGCCTTCCGACCGTTGGCCGCCGGATATGACTTACAGGGCACGGATCCGGCCACCGCGGCCTCTCCCCTCACCGTCGGCCACTTCCTCCTCCGTGTCCCGATCGCCAGCCGCCGCCGCCTCTCCTGCCTAACGACCGCCAGCCTCAACACGTTTGGGGGACGCAGATCTGGCGCCTCTCCCCCGACCACCAGTCGCCTCCTCCTCCGCCACCCCACCGCCGCTTGCCCGATCCAGCGGCAGCCTCCTCCACCGCACCGCCAACCGTTGGATCCGGCGGCCTCTACCCCTGACCGCCGGCGTCGTCCACCGTCTCCTTCACCCACTAGCTCCGCCGCCATTTCCAGCTCTTATAGGTTGTGCAAATTTTCATTTCCAAATTTCAGATTGGGTTATACTCATGGTTGCTTCTGTGGATTTGTAGTTTATTACTCAAAGTTGTGTGGATTTGTGATGTATATTACTTGTGTGGATGTGCTTCATGTGTCAACATATCTGTCAATAAAATGCAAAGTTATTGTGTCATGAGATCTTGAGATGTTCTTCATGTCATGAGATATGGCCTGAGGGCTGAGAGCTGAGAGCTGAGAGCTAGAGGCTGAGGGCTTTAAATTTTTTTTTGTTGATTTTCCACACCTGTGACGGGTGGTGAGTTGAACCTGTCAGAGGTGTTTATTACCTTTGATGGGCTGAAAAGATTCACTCATCATGTGTGAGTTTATTTTATTCGGTCCGTCAAAGGTGCCAATCATCATTGACGGGCTTTCACCCGTTTGAGATGAGATGTAGTCATCAGTGACCACTAATCAGTGACCAAGACCAAATCCATCAAAGGTGAGGGTTAGAGCCCGTCACAGATGATAGGATCTGGCTTAGTGTTGGAAAATTATTTTAGTCATCGGATTGGGAGTCCACTCACTTATTCTTTTTAAACGGTCCTCTTGTCTATTATGTCAACTAAATGACAACAAATCTGAAAAAATAACTATTAGATTATATGTAATATATATTTCCACCGTAGTAAGTTGGTGTTCAAGTTGGAGGTCACGTGCATTTGAAGAGATCAATTAAGCATCCGTGTTTGAATTATACTCCATCGAGCTTGCATTTAGGGGAGATCGACTGATCGAGTCAACGTACATCAGTGTCAGCCTTACTTATGGTCGGCATACTTGGCGCGTATTTCTAAGGTACACATGTGTACGCACGCTTATACTCTTTTGAACATGAACAAGCTACATGTGCATCTTCTTCGTGCACTTGTTCACTAAATAGTCAGGATTCGGCTGTGTTCGCTAGAAGCGGTTCCCATCCGGAACAGTGATCACGAAAAACGGAGCGGTCCATTAGCGTGTGATTAATTAAGTATTTGCTATTTTTTAAAAAAATAGATTAATTTGATTTTTTAAGCAACTTTCGTATAGAAAGTTTTTTAAAAAATACACCGTTTAGCAATTTGAAAAACGTACGCGCGAAGAGAGAGAGAGAGAGGGGTTGGGAACATAGGATTGCAAACACAAAGATAATCGGGTAAGCCAGATACTTCGTGCCTTCATGGCACGGCAGCACCCGTACTATTGAAATGGTTTGTCAGTAGAGATGTTACCCTTTGAGGTAAACCATTCTCCTATATTTTCCGGTTGACCTCAACAGCACAATAATTAACCACTTTCTTCCCATTTCAAAAATCAATTTACTTTAATATTTTAAAAAAAACTTTACAAAAACATGCAGCGTGAGGCTATGGGTAGGCTACGGGTCTGTTTACATTACTGCCAAAATAAAATTTTCAAAATTTGGTAATGACAAAATTTTGATAGGTTGACAACATTATCTTGTTTTGTATGATAGGTTAAATGTGTTATTGCAAAAAAAAAAAATCTCTAGGTATTTTGCAAGTGAGCGGAGCTCAACTAGTTAAGTTACTTGTGGTGGAACCAACCCACACAGGATCAAATTCTAAATTTGACACGGATGCTCGCATTACGGTTAATTATTCTTTCGGTGATAGACGACGTATTCATCGATAGCGAGGCGCCAGTGGTGACTCCGTTTATGCTGTATTTCTAAAAAATATCTCTAGGTATTACCAATGTTTGGTAATAAACTAAATACATCCACATTTTTATCAATTTTATAAAAAGAAAGGTACTGTTCTTCTAAAACAAATCTCTAGCTATTACCAATGTTTGACAATAAACTAAATACATCCACATATTTATCAATTTTATAAAAAGAAAGATATGATTTAAAATGGTCAATCTGAAGTGTCCTATATATCCTTGCAAACACGTTAGATCAATGACCACGGCTCTAGCATGGCATGCTTGATGCTTCCATTTTTCCCCAACCTTGCAGCGTAGCATTATGAAAAGGGAAAATTTTCTTTCGTGTCCTTGAGTTTTTCTCAATTTCTTATATACCACTAAATTTTATCTTATTCCTTGCATCCACTTGGTTTTCATTTCGATCTCATCTTACCCATTTCATAAATTGACCGTTAGTTTATTTTTCAAATGATTTTATTGCCCTCTCTCACATTTATGTGCTGATATGCTAGCATACCAAGAAGAACACAATTCTCGACATGAAAAAACATTCAGGGCTCAATCCGAATGAGCCACTTCAGCATCGTTCAGATTAAATGAAGGGAAAAAATGAAGGATTTCAGTTCCTATGGATTGCGAGAGCACTACGGCTCGGACGTCCAATATATCACCAAATATCGAACGCCCAGCTCGATTGTGTATGTGCATGTTGTTGCACTTCATTCTTCACTCCTCAATCATGAGGAATCTTCCTATCCGACGTCCCAAGTCCTAAAGAAAATTGGTTTGTCAAATGTTCTAGTTGACCAATGAGTGAAACATCAAATTATATATGGTGAAACAAAAAATCAGCAACTGAAACATTTAAAAATTTTATGAAATATGATGAAGATACACGTTGAAACATATCGCTATCACATATAAAACAACTAGTGTTAACGGATTGAAACATATGTTTTTCTTTCATCAAAATATAATTATGTGATATCTTGTTGTAAATATTTAATTACAACAAATATAACGGTGTGATCGGATCATATATTGGATAATTAGTTTATGAGACAAATTGTTTTGAAGCTCGTTAAAATGCATACATGCGTGCATGTATGAGGTGGAGAGAGAGGAGAGAGTAGTGAAATGTAGTTTCACGAAATTTGTGAAACATGCTGAAGAGATATATTAAAACATATCACTATCGCGTATGAAACAAAGAGTGTTAATGGATTGAAACATATGATTAATTTTAATCAGAATATAATCATGCGATATCTTATTGTAAAACGAATACAATGGTGTGATCGGATTGTAGATTGGATAAGTAATTTACGAGAAAAATTGTTTTAAATATCGTTAAAGGTATATGTGTGTAGGCTTAAAAGGACGTGTGTTAGAGTCAGCCCGCCCGATTTTTCTTGTTCAGTCCGAACGTTCGAGGAGAAGCATTTTCGTATGGATCGAGATTAAGCCACTTTAGCATCGTTCGGATTACTGGAATCGGTCATAGGAAATACATAGGAAATTTTCCTATATTAGCGATTTCACTAGAAGATCACAGGAAAAAGATTGTTCACTAGAAGATCACAGGAAAAAGAACAATCTGCGACCAACCTCTTTTTTCTATCCCTTCGCGTGGGAAAAAGGAAAATCAAGCCAAGCAACCAATCAAAGCATGATAAAAGCAAAGTGTTCATTGATATTGCTTACTTCACTGTTTGTGACGCTATGTTACATTGCACTCGCTTTTATTATAAGATTCCCATGTTTTTCCCTTGATCCATCCAAACAATTATCCATATAAAATTCCTGTGTTTTTTAATCATCTATTTTACACTTGGATTCCTATCATATTCCTGTATCGTATCTTACTGTAAAGTTATAAATAACTAATTCTAAAACTCAACATGCAAACATGCCACCTCATCATCCACTAGCAATAATTACATACAAAACTTATGCAAGCTTGCAATATCATCTATAATTCATTGAATTTTACAAAATCAACATCCAATCATTTTCATTCACATTATCACATTATTTTTCATTATATACTCCGTTTTTTTATTTGATGTTTCCGACACGATTGAGGAAATTAAGGAAGCTGCAAATTGACTCTTTTGCCCTTCGTTCTTATCTCCTTTGCGCTACGGTGTTTCCTCCACGCGCGCCGGCGGCGAGACGAGCACTGCCGGTGGCACCTCGGATGAGTCCGGCGGCGGACTATCACTCCACCAGCACTCTCCAACTGCTACACAGCAGGCTGACGACGGCAGCGACACAGCCATCAAGCAGGGCAAGGCAGGGTAGGGCAAGGCGGCAAGCAGACATAGAGCGAGGCGGGATGGCAGCCAAGGAGCAAGGCGGAGCAGGCGGCCATGGAGCAAGGCGACGCCAGTTGCAGATTGTCGTCGGTGGCCGCGGCGCCGTCCCCGCCTCCTCGGATGAGTCCTTCGGTTTCCCGGGCGGCCATGCTTCAGCCTTCAGGTCAACGATGTTGGTACTGTTCCTGAACCTGGTTTGTGAATCTTGAGATGATATTGTTCCTGAGAACAATGTGTGCGCAGTTTCTCTCTCTCTCTCTCTCTCTCTCTCTCTCTCTCTCTCTCTCTCTCGTGTATGCTGCAGATTAGTGCACATTTGACATGGATGCTAAACATATGGTCTAGAGAGGAGATCGAGCTGAGACTAAATTCAGAAAGAACATTTGGTGAAATTCAGAGATAAGTTCAGACCAAATTCAGCACTCTGTTACCATGTGGATGATTACACATAGCATTTCTTCAACAATTGGCTGTTGACTTTTCATGCAATATGACGACGTGATTGATGGCCTCTGCATCTTCTTGCTTTTATTCGCCTGCTCATAGTTCAGGTGGTATAACCAAATTATGGTTGAACAATCTTAGTAAAATTATGCTTTGTCATCATGATATAACTGTCTAAGAATGACAGTGAATTCCTTCCAATGTGGCCAGAAGAAGAAGAATTAAAAGGCCATTCATGTTTCAGAACTCAATTTGGGCAAACTCCACTTTAAGAATGATTTGAGATATTTTTGCTGGAGTAAAAACTCTATTTTTATGCATGAGTTGTAAAGATGCTGGAATGATGGAATGTGGGATGTGTCTGAGAATGACATGTACTCCTTTCTTTTCTCTATGATGATGGAATTGCAAAATTCCATTTGTTGCCTTTAAAGGCGATACTGTTAAAATCTCTCATCTCATCTTAAATTTCTTCCAAGTCACAATATTTCAATTTACTCAAATTGCCAGTATAATGTGATTTACTGATAATCTGATACTCCAATCATCAGTAAGAAGCAACTCCAATCATCTGTGGGTTGGAAGAAAATCTTCTTGTAAGAATACAATGCTTCCATTCCGTCTGAAGAACACTACTGAACACCTTGGGTAGCTGCTCTTGGACTCATCGATGCATTGATCCAACTCCTCAAACTTGTCAAGAGATACCTCCGCGTCTCTGGCGAGGCCTTCTATGCAAAGGCCACAAATGCTGGCGTCTTCTTGCATGAGGATGCCATGGCCACAACATGAACATGGTTGTCATGAACACAGCAATGGATGCCGCGGCGGCCATCTCGATTTCCTCGGCGATGGAGCCAAAGCTGAGGCGCGGCGACAAGTGCTTGGTGGCAGCCGCAGTGGCGGAGGCGAGGCGGCAGAGCTCCTTCGGCCCAGCATTGGGACCTGACGGCGGCCGCGAGCCTCGCCTTGCGGCGTTGCCCCTCCGCAGCACCGCCTGCGCCTCGGTGACGTCATGCCTGAGCTCGAGGACGGCCTCCTGGAAGCGGTCCCAGTGCGCGTCGCCGAGGAGGAGGTCGGCGGTGGCGGTGGAGCGATGGAGTGAGTCCCTAGACGCCATCGCCACCCGCTGAAGTCGAAAGGAGAATGAGGCATCTGTGGGGGGCAAGAATGGAAATTCGTGTGCAGAAGAGGTGGGACTGAACTGCTGGCGTCAAATAAAAAAAACGCTTTGAGATTGAACTGGTGCGTCAAATAAAAAAAACAGAGAGAGAGAGAGAGTATGGCCCTCTTTGTTTAGACTTATAAGCCAACTTATAAGTCGAAAAGTCTAAGCCAAAACAAACAAGCAGCTTTTTTATTTGGCTTTTTTGAAGCCACTAAGCCACTCTAACACTGTTAAGCCAAAAGCTATATTAGAGAAGCTTTTTTGGCTTATATGAGATAGATGTATGACTCCACCACTAAATTTAGGACATTAAATCCATTGACTTATAAATCATATAAGCCAATAAACTGACTTAAAAGTTTAGGCCAATAAGCCTAAGCCTAAACAAAGAGGGCCTATATATACATACCCTACATAGTACAGCTCTATTCTACACCTTATACATACCCTACATAGTACAGCTCTATTCTACACCTCCCCCTAGAATAACTATTCTACATCCCTTCCCACCTCCTAGGTCCAGCCCATCCCTCCCTCCCTCACTCCCGGCGCACCCTCCTCCCCCCCTCCCCCTCTCGATCTCTCTTCCCTCCCTCCGATCCCCCCTCCCGTATTCCCTCCCCCTCTCGATCTCTCTCTGCCAACCATTTTCTCTCCCTCACATCTCTTATTTTTCCTCCTATTCTTTTCTTTTTTTAGAAAAAAATAAATTGGTGAAACTAAGACTTGAACCCATGATCTCATGGTTCATGGCAAGCTTTTCTAAGCAATTCACCGTCTAATGTTATGTGAATAGAAAATATTGTTTGCATGCTTTGTATGTCTGTTTAAATTGTGTGATAACAAATCAGTTATGTTACTGCAAGAATCATACCTTATTACTGTGATTCGGCAGTAATATTATCACAGAAAGGTAGTAACATGATACGTTACTGCAAAATTTATAGTTTGTTACTACAAAATTTATAGGTTGTTACTATAATGTTGGCAGTAACAACATGACGAAATTTACAGTAACAGAGAACATGTAGAGTAACGGGTGGCACTATTGTAGTAATTTTTTTGTAGAGCTAAAATATTTTAAATCTCAATCTTTAGATAGCAGTAACGTAAATGCCATGCCTTATTTTTCTAACCCGTTTGCATCATGGCGTTCGTAAAAAAAATTCTTAACAAAACTAGAACCATCGTAACTACTTTTTAATGTCGGTACTGCGAAAAGCAGTCGTGTTACTATACATTGGCCATCGTGTTACTACGCTGTTCCAGTGAGACAAGAACTAAAAAGAGGTAAATCTCAATCTTTATAGAGCAATATCTCTCACATCATATCTTGTTTTTCTAATCCGTTTGCACCATGATGTTCATAAAAAAACGCTTAACGAAACTAGATCCATCATGACTACTTTTTAACGTTGTTACTGTGAGAAAGTTGTCTTGTTACTGCACGATGACCGTCCTGTTACTACACAATTCCTGCAAGACGAGAACAGCAAAGTGCGGGATATCATATTTCATCTACAATTTCATACAGAGTCTACTAAATTTATTTCTCTCTTAACATAGTTTGACAAACCAATTTTATTTGTTGTTAATAACTACTCCCTCCGTTCCAAAATATAAGCATTTTTAGAATATTGTCAAGGCAAACATTTCTAATTTTGACAATTAATGCAAAAAAAAAGATCAATCATGTAAAATTGTTGTTACTAGATTTTTATCATTAAACAAACTATCATAGTATGCAACTCTTTTTATTTAAAATGTCTCACTTTATAGATATTACTGGTCAAAATAGCATATCGAAGGCTATGTCGAAGTCCAAAAATACTTATATTTTGGGACGGAGGGAGTAATATAATTTTTATTTTTAGCTCGATTATTAAAAAAAAATAAAATTTAGTTAGTAATTTCTGCAGCAAAGTACGGGGAATCACCTAGTTTTTCTTATTCTTTTTTTCAATCTTTGTGTTCCGAATGAGCCCTCATTTGTAAAAAAAAAAACAAAGGGACAGAACTATTTGACCATAAAACATAATTTCAAATTTATAAATCAAATTTACATAAATTTGATGAAATCTGCACAACGTTTTCACAAAAATTTAAACTCAAACAAATAATAGTTTTAAATTTATCGGTGAACTCTTGTATATTAAGGGTCGTTGAAACATATGACCTACATTCGCTGGTGCTTCCACTGTTTCACAAGGGAGAACATAAGGCGAAAGGGTGTGTGCGTGGACCGATGGCTTGGCCGAAATGTGGCAATAGGCGTGTGCGGAAAAAATAACTAAAAATAGAATCTAGAATATAAAACCTATAAAACAGATATAAGGCAGTGTAGAAGAGATACTACATTACAAATTAAAAAAGGCTGAAAAATTCGTAAAAAAAATCCTACATTCAAACAACTTAAAGTATTTCTAAGGACATAATCAAATTATGATAGTAATCTATGGATGATTATGGATGGTTTGATTTTTACAAATTATACATGTTTTTAATTTGAACCACTTATTTAAATTAAATTTTTGTTGCTATGCTTTTTTTCATTTTCAAGCCGTATAGGACAAAAAAGAAACACAGTTAATTTTTTATGCAACCTATTACATTTTGCATTTTTTTATGAAGAACCATCCTAGCAAAAAAAATCCATTGTATTTTGATAAGGCCAAAAATCATAATATTACCTCTCTTTTCTCTCTATTTTTTATTTCTCTAACCTTCCTCTCCTCCTATTATCTTTTTTATTACACTTTTATCTTAATTTTTTCAGCCTTCTTTCATCTGTGATGTGCTATTTTATCATATCATATGCATATAAGTTTCATGTACGCACCAACAAATAAATATTACCGAAAAATATAGTAAAAATTGTGTATATACTTTTAATAGTATTATTCCTACATGTAAAATCTTAACCTTAAATTCCTTATATCTTAGATGTAACAAAAAAAATAGAATCTAAGTCTTGAGGCTATAAATCCATTAGAATTTTATCTTTTTGTTAGTCTCTATGTAGGATGAATTTGAAGATGTGACTTTACACGTAGATGTAATATTATTGAAAGTACATGTACATTTTTTCTATATTTTTCGGTAATATTTATAAATTGGTGTGCACAGTGTATATACGTGAGGACTTGTGTGAATATGATATTTCTCGGTAAGGAATAACTCTATACGTTTCAGTCAGAGCATAGAGAAAAATATATAATTGCCTTCCATTGTTATGTTTACATGCATTGATTTATCTAGAATGTATGAATTCAACTGAGCCAGACATTCGCTGCCAACGAAAAGATTTCGGGAATTGTTTATGACGGGATAGAAACAATTCTTCATTTCCAAAACAATAAAGCAAGATCACTTCTTGCACTACTGACATGCTTTACAAACGTTGTACATATAACAAACAGCAATTCTAGTTCAGGCCAAAGACAAACATCATCGAGGATAGGTACCAGACGACAATATTTCCTCTTCCATAGTGTATTGTCTTGTTGATTCGTCAGTGATTCCTCTAGTCGACAAATAATCACATACAATTTGGTCCCCATCACATCTATTTGATGTTGTACCAAGTGTAGCATGCTTCTTCTTAACTCGTATATTTTCAAGTGCCATCTCCACTTCTCTCATTGTAGGCCGGTCATCTCCCTTCAATTTAATACACGTTGCTGCTAGTGCAGCTACTTCTTGGACTTCTCCATCTCCCTCTTCCATGACTTGAGGATCTAATATGTCGACCAAGTTGTTTTCTGTATGTAGTGAAACAAAATGTAAAACAAGAGCATCGCCGTTGCTAGAGGTGTGTACAAACGGCTTCTTTCTAGTAAGCAATTCCACGAGAAGAACACCAAAACTAAAAACATCACTCCTGTCAGTTAGCCTTCCAGTGTAATAGTACATTGGATCTAAATATCCAAATGTTCCCTGAACAGCTGTTGTCACTCCTGTTTGATCGATTGGAATGTACCTTGAAGCTCCAAAGTCTGACACCTTTGCTGTCAAGCTATCATCAAGAAGTATATTGGAAGATTTAATATCTCTATGGAATATTGGCATAGAACTAGCTGAATGCAGATACGCAACAGCTCTAGCAACTTCAAGTGCAATCCTTAGTCGGTCATCCCACGGAACTGACATTGGCCCTTCAACATGAAGATGATCATAAAGTGTTCCATTTGAAACAAACTCATAAACCAACAATGGAACTTCTGTCTCAAGGCAGCATCCTAGGAGCTTCACTACATTTCTATGGTTGATTTGGGAAAGAACTGCAACCTCATTTATGAATTGGTCAATTTCTCGTTGTACTACTATCTTTGATTTCTTGATGGCCACAACATGTAGGTCAAGTATTCCCTTGTACACAATGCCATGCCCTCCCCCACCAACCTCACGACTTTTATCAAAATTGTTTGTGGCCTTCTCTAGATCTGATAAGGTAATGATCATTCTTTCCCCAATGTCCACCTTTTGTGAAATTAATTGCTGCAATAGCAACCCATGATTTTGCTTGAAAAATCTTTCTTTTGTTTTCTTCATCTTCCGTAGCTTAATCTTACGTGTTGCGAGGGGAGCACAAAGAGCCAGAAGCAAAAGAACTGTGCCGCCACTGACTACAAGACCAATGCTTAAACCTGAAAAATTACGGAGAAAAAATCAGTATGAGATATCATGCAATGATGCAAGAGAGTTATCTAGAGGATAGACCGTGCATTGAAGTTGTCAATGTTATAGTCTGTACCATAGGATCATACGAGTTATAGAAACACGATTCTATAAGATAATTCCAGTAAAGATCCTATGCAGGATAGTAAGAAAGAACATAATAAATAGTGGTAGAAACCTTGTAAATATTAATATCATGCTTTTTCGGGTACAAACCTGACACAACAAAATTAGTTGCAATGCGCATACGGTGAATCACAGTCTACTTTAGTTGATCTGTTGATGCAACACATCATGATTTTTTAGGTACAGAACTAACACAACAAAATTACATAACAAATCACATAGTCTACTTTTAGTTTATTCAACATATCACCACAGTGCCGTATTATTTGTTCAAAGTGAACAACTATGTTTTTCCTTTAAAAGTAACCACTCAAGCTCACATAATCATGTAGCTTCCCACATTTTAGTGGTGATCATAAACAAATGGTTACTGAAAAAGTGCAGAACAATCTGCTTCTAAATACAAAGGCTATTATTTTTATTTAAAAAAATAGTAGTGTGTGCTGCGACGTGTAAGAGCAGAATGTGAAACAAATAATTGAAGAGCTCATGTAAAATGAATAAAACAGTTCTTCAGAGAAACAAACGAAAAACAACTGGAATGCGCAATTATTTGCACTCAGGTAATGAAGATAGAACAGAGCAACAGACATGTTTAATTGGCAGAGAATTAATAAAAACTACTGAACATTCCTTTCAAAAAAATATCAATTACTGGATACCAACTGCCAGCTATGTAGATGCCATTACCACCAGTCTCATTACTAAAAAAAATCTACATATAGAGTTGATGGCATGAGTACAAGGTAATTAGGGAGTGATTGTCACCTTGAGAGGAATTCTTTATCTTGATGCATCCCCCTTCCATCAAGGGATTGCCGTAAGTCCCATCAGGACAGCGGCAATGAAATGTTCCGGGCATATTTACGCAGGTACCATAGCATGAGTGGAGTTTCCAGTGTGAACATTCGTCAATGTCTAACCAAATAATGAAGAAGCATGTAATTAGACTGGGAAAATAGCCACATAGATGTATACTTATCGAAGCACCGAGCTGTTTTCAACTGATTTCCATTTTAACTTTGTATGACTTAAAGAAAATAAAAGCAGGTTGAATTGACTTGTTTACCTTGGCATCCGTTTGGAATGTAAGGGTTGCCTTGATAACCAGCATTGCAGCGACACTGATAGCCATTGTAGACATAGCTTGTATAGTTTTGACAATAGCTGTTACTGCTGCGGCATGCAGGTGCAGGGGCTGCAGATGGCTTCGTACCACATGTCGAATTGCTAATAGCCCAGTCCAGCAAAGCTGGGAGTGCACTGACAGTTTCAAAGATAAGGCGTGTGGCATTATAGGACCCCTCCTCAGCTATGTACACAGAGGACTCTGCATCAAACTCTGAAATTTCATTGGCAGGTTGGATCTGGATGCTATAGGATGTGTAGCCTTTGGGGATGGCCGCACTGCAGCAGCCAATACCAGAACACTCGTTGCGCATTGGGAACTGAAAAGGTTGGCCTTTCTTGGGGGCTGGAGGGCAGTAAGTAGCACAGGCATTGACAGTGGAATTATCGCCTCCAAGAAGAAGAACTTGAACATTGCTGCATGATAGAACCAGGAACTTGTTCTTGTACGGCGAGATGAAGAACGGGCCGCCCTTTCTCAGTCCACCCCATGTGTGGTATTTCCCTGTCTTGTTGACACTGCCAGTTCCAACAGCACTTGATGTTGATACTGGAACGATACTGCTGCTGTTGATGCGCACCGTGCCACTAGGAATCGAGATCTCGAGCACTTCAACGGAGCCATCACCAAGGAACAGCTTGGGCGGCTTGTGCGAGCGATCGCAGGTGAGGTTGAAGCCCTCGTGGTAGCAGCCAGGCTCTACTCCAAATGGATAGGAGATTCCGATGTTGCCACAGTGGGTGCTGCAATTAGCTGCTGCCGCCGTTGCTACACCCAACAGCAGCTGTAGCAGCAGAACTGCAAGTACAGATAGCGAAAACACAACTCTCATACTTGCGAACCTCTCCATATGTTGAACTGATGCTCTCTCAATCTCCACTGACTAGGCAGATGGCACTTGAGCTTCTTGTAGTCTCCATTCCCCAAGCTAATTAACCACTACTCTACCCTTATGCATCCAACCTACCAAATGAAACTACGAGGAATTCGGGCACTATCAACACGATTTGATTAAGTTGAACAACCTTCCTTTCCCTGCAGCTAACAACCCAAATAGGACAGCACAGCACTCCCCATTTTTCAGAGAAAGCGACAGGACTCCAATTCAAAATAAGAATTAACAACAGCTAGTAGCAAGATAAAAATTAAGGGGCATTTGCATCATTCAACCACGTGGTCGTTACATTATAAATAAATAAAACTATAAAAGTAGATTTAATCTTTTGCATGCTTTCGATGACTATGAGTAGGAATCTTGACTTGTGTTTCAGTTGGAAGAGTAAATAAATCTAGATGCAAAGGTAGTTCACAAAGTCGATGGCTGCTCAAATTGCTCATGCTATGGTAAATACAAGGGGGGATGATTACGAAACCTTGGTTAAAATCGATGGAGAGCGCGGAGTCACACCGAAGTTGGCGGAGGCGCCGATCCGATCGTGACGCCGTCGGCGCACAACCAGCCGGCGCTCGGCATGGCACCTCCGCCCGATTCGATTCCCCCGCCGACGGAATCTACGCCGCCGCCGCTCGCTTCAACGTCCGCAACCGCGACAGCGCCCCTGTGAGCGTCGTTCCCCTCGATGGCTCATGGCTCCCCCCGCCGCCGCTGTTTCCGTTTCCGCGTAGCAGGTGGGGCTGAGCCGGAGCCCGCGGCCGGAGCGGCCACCGGTTCCATCGGAGCCGCCCATGCACGCCGCCGCGCCGCGGTTCCGTTCCTGGTCTTCATTTATCTCCTAAAAATATACTCCCTCCACGCCGTTGACTTTTTTAAACATGTTTGACCATTTATCTTATTCAAAAACTTTTGTAAAATGTGTAAAACTATATGTATACATAAAAGTATATTTAACAATAAATCAAATGATAAAAAAAGAATTAATAATTACTTAAATTTTTTGAATAAGACGAACGGTCAAATATTTTTAAAAAAGTCAACGGCGTCAAACATTTTAGGATGGAGGAAGTATATGGTTGCAGCTGGTTTATAGTCTGCTATTGTACATGCTCTAAGTGATTGTTGCATTTAGGTTAGGTTTTAGTAGTACCACTGTGGCATAGTTGGGTAAAATCTTACTAATGTAAAATTCCTAGGTGATTCTGCATTATACATACCTACGAAGTGCAATACCTGTTAAATTTAACCGTTCGATCTGTTCACGCCATGACATTTTGACATCTTCTTCTCCCTCCTTTTTTTTTTGTTGCAAAATTTGTCTGTTTGAGAATCAAACCCTATAAATCTAGTTCACAATGGTGATGTTGTGGTAAACAAAAGTTCATCATGGCGATGTTGTGTTCAAAAAATAGTTCATAATGGTGATGCGTATCTGAAGTTTGAACGGGTGGAAATTGTTTTCAAGTTTCCTAATCATGTTTGGCCTGCCGGCCGGACCGTCCTTGTCACTGCCGTTCATTTTCCATTTTAACGTATGTTCAACACTTCAATGTAATTAATCTAATTTTCTGCAATCTAATGAGGTCAGCAGTTTGACTGGACATAGTCTTGCCTTCTGTGGTTGGATACAGAAGTAGATAAATATGTCTGAGCTTTCTTCAGGTTTGTTTTTTGGGGAGCTCCAAACTGCAAAACTCAAAAGAAATGAAATTTCCAATGTATTGTGGTTCCTTTCATGTCCTAGATTGACTCTTTTTAAACCTGCCGTCCTGTCCTTTAAGGTTGATAAAGTGACATATAACCACCCTGATTTGATACGCAACAATTATCGGTGCAATCTGATAACATCTTTATAGTGTAATATATAACCGGTGAAGAAATTTTCCAAGGTAGCAAAAGACCAGTTCCTGCAAATGCTTTGTCAAGGCCTATATATGTGACATGAACTGTGTCCTAAGTCCAAACCACCAAGCCACACTGATCAGGGCACCTATTCATGTCAGTAAAATGCATGTTTTTGCCATAGCCACACTGCACTTGCTGCAGTTTCTAGCAGCAATACCCCTGATACTTTCATATAACATAGCATTGCCTGGTTGCACTGACACATGCGGAAACACAACCATACCTTACCCATTCGGTATTGGCGACGAACGGTGCTTCCGCGAGGGCTTCAAACTAGTGTGCGACCCAGCTTATGATCCCCCCAAGCTCTTCATGAACGGCCCTGGATATGAAGTTCACAAGATAAAGCTGGCACGTAGAGTTCTGCACCTTGATACCGGCATCACCCAAATGTTGGGGGGAGACAGCTACAACCAGAAATGGATCCTCGACTTGGATGACAAACTCTTCCGGGTATCGGCAGACATGAATGTTTTCATCACCCTGGGTTGTGGTTTCCACTTCTTCATAGGTAGTTCTCCTGCAGCAGCAGGAGACAATGCTACTAGCAGCAGCAACTGCGTTTCGAATTGCCGCCCAGGTTACCCCATACTGGCAACGGATGGCACATGCTATGGCATTGGCTGCTGCAACGCATCGGTGGTTGAAGACCACAACTCCTACACGATCAAGCTTCTCTCCCTGCAGTCTAGTCCAAGGGCGGTGCCGTTCAACGCGAGCATGGTGGTGGTGAAGGGGGAGTGGTGGAGGAGGGCAGACAATGCCATGCTGCTGCAGCAAGAGGTCCTGTCAAGGCTGGGTGCCATCGCTGGGGCGCCGGATGCTGCAAGGAATGTGGGTGTCCGGACTGTGGTTAACTGGATGCTGGGTAACTCATCGTGCGTGGAAGCTAAGAAGTTGAGTGATTTTGGGTGTCTCAGTGACAACAGTGAGTGTTTTGATGGCCCTGCAGGGAGAGGCTATGCGTGCAAGTGCCGCTCAGGATATGATGGTAACCCTTACATGCCAAATGGATGCCAAGGTATGATACTCTCTGCAGATATGTCAGTATGTGCACTCATGGTTTTGATGTCACTTAAAGAGTTATAAAAAAATTTGAGAGCGTAGATTATTGTCTCATATCACTCCACAAGCGTGCAAGACTACAAGTTTTCTACAAGTTGTAACAACAGAACTGGCTATAAATAGTGCCTCTACTTTTCATAGGTTTAATTTGTTCCTTTTGTTTCTCTATACGTGTATCAGTTTTGGAGTTAAGAAATTTTCAGAACTATTCGATCGACACTTGAGAGGTTATAACTTAGAAGCATGCAAGGGCACATACCCAGATTAAACAGTAAAATGCAGCTCAGATACATTTAACCTTATTGCGTGATCACTTTGCACAATTTAATTTTTATTTCCTTTTTCACAGATATTAATGAATGCATGCTGCCAAATCCACCCCTATGCTTTGGGAAATGCATAAATACAGTAGGATCATATGAGTGTATCTGTCCAGGTGGCACATCTGGTAACGCCCATATACAAAATGGATGTGTTTCAAGCAAACTTAAATTTTCAGGTAACAGAAAGAAAGTTCAGTCAATGTCTGAGGGTACTGTTCATTACTATGTTTCTTGTTGAGATCAATTTAACGGAGTAAACGATTTAAAATTTACATTTTCTTACAAATCCAGGACTCATCATTGGAATAGGACTTGGTGGCAGTCTAATCATCGTGGTACTAATTCTTACTGGAATTGTCGTAAGGCGAAAGTTCAAGTCTCGAAGGGCCAAAAAACTGAAGGAATTCTTCTTCAAGCAAAACCGAGGATTGTTGCTTCATCAACTTGTAGACAAGGATATCGCTGAAAGGATGATCTTCAGCTTAGAAGAGCTTGAGAAGGCGACAAACAATTTTGACGAGTCTCGAAAGCTTGGTGGTGGTGGCCATGGAACCGTCTATAAAGGGATTTTGTCTGACCAACGTGTTGTTGCTATCAAGAAGTCAAGATATGCTATTAAGAGAGAAATTGATGGATTTATTAACGAGGTTGCCATACTTTCCCAAGTAAATCACAGGAATGTAGTGAAGCTTTTTGGATGTTGTCTTGAGACAGAAGTTCCATTGTTAGTCTATGAGTTCATTCCAAATGGAACACTTCATGAATATCTTCATGTCAACTCTGCACAATCAGTCCCATGGAAGGAACGGCTGAGGATAGCACTTGAAATAGCTAGGTCTCTTGCTTATCTACATTCAGCTGCTTCGGTATCAATCATCCACAGAGATATCAAGACCACCAACATTCTACTTGATGATAGGTTCATAGCAAAAGTATCCGACTTCGGAGCTTCTCGAGGTATCCCAATTGATCAAAATATTGTAACTACTACTATCCAGGGAACTTTTGGATACTTAGATCCAGAGTACTACCGTAAAAGCCGACTTACGGAGAAAAGTGATGTATACAGCTTTGGTGTCATACTTGCGGAGCTAATAACACGAAGAAGGCCAACTTCCTACATATCACCAGAAGGCTTCAATCTAACCGAACAATTTATCTTGCTAGTTAGTGAGGACAGGCTCTTGGAAATAGTAGACAGTCAAATCACTAAGGAGCAGGGAGAAGAAGAAGCCAGAGAAGTGGCAGAAATTGCTGTTATGTGCTTAAACTTAAAGGGTGAAGACAGGCCGACAATGCGGCAGGTTGAGGTGAAACTTGAAGGGTTGCAGGGTGCTGTAAACACTATCAGAGGTCGACGTGCAGTTCAGTTGAATTCTCCATTGACTGAAGAGAGCGATTCCAACATCGTTGCTGTTGGTGACGCTGGTTATCACAACTCAAGCAGGCGGCTCAGTATGGAGGAGGAATTCTGGTCATCTATGAGCTTTCCTCGTTGACCATCTTGTTTCTCATCCAGCTCATAAGATTTTTTGTTTTGTTGGTCTTTTTTTAAGTTTCTCTTGGAACATCTGCAATTGCAAGGAACTTCCAAGCTGTATCAGTAGGATCCTCCACAACTCGTGCGATTTCAACAAAACTTGAGAACTTGGCACTTCCCTGCAGTCCTGTACTGTCCGTGTAATAACTTATACTCCCTCCGTCCCAAAAATAATAATAAACATAGTACGGGATGCGACACATCCTAGCACTACGAATAGAAATATTACTAGCTTTGTTAGGAGTAGTCCTAGTTCCAAGTGATCCTTTCAGTTATCACTATGGATCTGCCAAACTGATATGTAATATGCAGAACAGTTAACTAAACTTATAGTGGATATTCAGTTATACATTGTCAGTGCACCAATACAAGGTGACTGAGTAGTAATAATTCATTAATAACTCAGTTCAGATCGCCTGATGAGTCCGATGTGTTATCATTCCTGCAAGGACAGATTGAGATGATGATTCTATTGGCACTGAAACATGCAAGATCTGAAGAGTGGAACTGGTGCAGCTTGTAGAGAGAACTGATCAAAATAGGTACACTCCTGTTAATCATGATATATTACGAAAAGAAACAGAAGAGATCATAAGGGAATTTTTCTTGTAGAGTATGCAATCTTGCTGTATCAAATTTACAGGGATCACTGATGTATGGATGTATGCTTTATCCTTGAGATTGACAGAAGTAAAGTGAAGTTAAAGATTAGGGTTTCTTTCCTAGTCCCAAGTTGTTTTGCTTGTGGATTGGGTCATAGCTTTGCTGAGTTTCGTTGCTGCTTCTCTGTTTGCTGGTTGCTTCAAAGGTGTGATCTCCTATAAGGTATAATTAATCTAAGTTATATTTAGTTACAATTATGCATCTTCGTTGATTGCGGATTTTTTTTAGATAATGGAATGAAACATCCCGGCCTTTGCTCATGAGAGCTACAACCAATTATTATAAGAAGTAGCACACTAAAAAGGCGTAGTCCAAAATTAAACAAGCACACCAACCAAAAATAAAAGAAGTCCTAACATGACAAGAAAAACATTATTCCAGTCTATTGGTGAATCTCCATCCATGGTTGGTAAAAAGTTGCATAACCGTTGACTCAAGGTTACGACATGCAACAGACATGAATTCTCCATCTTCCTCACACTTTTGTAGTTGAGCCCACAGTCTAAGCCAATATGTTGCCTTGAAAATCACCTGCATATAGGAAACAGATGGTGATTTGTTAAAAACCCTATCATTTCCACACAACCACAGAGCCCAACATAAAGCCGAGGCACCAACAAGTATCAGTTTACTCTTTTCCTTGTCCACACCCTGAAGCCAACCATCAAACATATGAGATATACTTCTAGGGAGGTATAAACCAAAAGAGAACTGAACCATTCTCCAAATAAACTTTGCATAATGACAATCTATAAACAAATGTTGAATAGACTCATTTTTTATGCAATCGTTGATTGCGGATACCAACAAGTTTTCCTTGTACTAGTATCGGCATTGCGGTTCTGCAGGTATCGGCCCACGCCGTTCTCCTATTGTGCACTTTCTCTGGTGTCAGAGAAACCTACTCTTTTTGAGGTATCAAAGTAGAGGGTGCCATGGTGGGGGTGTGAAAAAGACGGTATCATAGCATGGGTTCGGTGTAGGAATGAAACACCTCTCCTATATGATGCCCCTAAGTACCATATATTGGAATACAAAATTAAGCTATGTGTAAAAATATCTATTATCTTTTCTCATACTGGGTTTCAAAAAGACATTTCCCTACTGTCTCTTTATTCAAAACTTATATACAACTAGCCCTTTCGTCCAATGGACATGGTCACCTCCATGATTGTCCCTTTTGGCTATGCCATTCCTCCATGACAACCTTGATCATAAGCTCTACTTGTGTAAAGCTCAACTTTTCTCCCACCTTTGCATAGGTGCAAAGGTTAATGATGGCTTATTACTTTTTTTGCGGGGTATCGCGCGATGTGGCTGCCAAACCAGCATTGGTAGGACAAGTGCCTTTGAGATGCCCTGGCCCTAGACACTTGAATCAATGGCCAATGAGCCAGAGGGGGATGAGGTGAGCCAGGGTAAAGGCATATGGTAGGACAGTGGAGTATCATAAGGGCCCGGTAGCTTTCTGTTTCATCTACACCAACACCCAACCATCCGTAACTTCCTACTTGGAGGGCCCTACCGATGAGCGAGCGATGATAGCCCATGAGGGAGTGGTGAAGGAGAGGATGGGTGCTCTGTGCTTTGTCTGGGTGGAGACAAGTTGGTCCAAGAGGGACCGTTGGTCGCGCGTAGGTAGGAGTGTGGGAGGCACTCATGACTACTTAAACTAAGTTTTTTGAAATGAATCGCACAAGACTGTGAGGTTTCACCTTGATAAAAGATCATAGCTCTGACAGACTATAATCAGGAAAACAAAAGAAAAGGACAAGCCACACCACATGCCTACAACACAAGCACCTATTGTAGATGAACAAACAGGAGCATAACCTTCCAACACACTAATTCCATCCACGCCTTTGCATTTAGGGCAGAGAAGGCAAGAGAGAAGGATGGATCCGCTCTCCCTTACAAGACCCTCCAAAGTGACCAACTTGAGGTAGCTAGGGCGCTGCCACAAGATAACAATTTGTCTGGACGAGGCATTGTTAGGAAATAGATTTTCAAATGATTCCTCTAGGGAGGATGTGACACCGAAAGCGTTGCCGTCGACCGCCCTAGAGAACCAAGGCATGGTTTTCACCTGAAGCATTCCAAACATGGAGAAGGAAAGAGATTCCATGACAATGCCCTTTGGAGGGTTGCGCTTCCCACCCTCTCTTGTCATTTTGTCCAAGTCATTACCAACGGCCTCCACCATCCAAGCCCCTTCAATGCACAACCATCACCCCAGGGCCCACTGCTGGCCAGCCTCCTCGCCACTTCCTTGTGCGAGCCCCACTATCACCGCCTCAAGGCAATGCCACCACTCGTCGTTGGTGACCAGACATGAAAAGGAGAACAAACTCCGCCGCCGCCACACCTAGCCTCATCAAGATGCTTCCTCCTATCTGCGCAGAAGTTGGCAACACCATGCCCTTTCCGTCACCAATGGCCAAGCTCAAGTGGATGGTGAGCAGCCACGAACACCACCTCACCAAGGGTCACCACAGTCGCTCCCTCTCCTCCCATCACCGCAAAAGCCTCCAACATTGCCATGTCTCATCATCGGTGATCAAGCATCACAGGAGGGGTGCAGTGGCCAACGTTGCCACACCTAGTCATCGCATAAACGCTCTGATCCCACCCATTCCTGCACCTCCATGTGGGCGGGCTTGCCTCGCCGGTCCGTCACTCTGTACCCACACCGTCGCAGCCCAACCGAGTTGCCTCTCATGTGCCAGGATGCCACTGGCCGCCACCACCTCAGGTCACCTCACCGTCGTTGCCGTAGTCCCTGTTAAATATGTGATCCGAATTTTAGGCCTACAATATATTCGGATTAGTTTCCTAGTAGGACTCCATGTCTTTTCCTATTAGGTGTCTTTCTTTTCTCTCCTATATATACTCTTGTAAGCCGTACAGAAAGGGGTGACGTTCCTATTGTTATTTCCATACGTTTGTAATCAACTATTCAATAGTGATCATTGCTTGTCAGCATTTCCACATAAAATTCGTGTCTCCATTGTGCATATATTTTCGTACCAGTCCCAATGAGCCATCGCGGCAGCCCATCAACTAGATCAAGTCAGGGGAGGGGTCATTTGGACTTGGTCTCTCCAAACTCCAATTAGCTAATGTCCTCTCTCTCTCTCTCTCTCTCTCTCTCTCTCTCTCTCTCCCACACACACACATACAATCAACTCGATTGTCATCGATGCTACCTCTTGCCTTTGCTTGGACTAGGGTTTGCAAGCTTGACCCACCAACACATACTGCAGAAAGACAATGAAGTTTGACGACTTCCTTTTGTGTAAGGAAAGGGCAAATGGCAAACGACATATTTACAAACGAAAAATAATTTATAATAAAACATTTATATACATGTTCTTAACAATCTAAAAACAAAAGGCTGAAAAATAAACTTCAATAAGAAAACCTCAAAATAAACTTCAAATTTAAGAATGAAAATTCAAATTTTGGCTGATAAGTATAAGCATAAGTAAAAAATAAGACTGCAAGCTCCACCAATCAGTTATGGGGGATAAAGAGGGTACGATGAATTTAAATCCAGCTGACCCCTCAGGTACAAGCAAGTAGTAGATGAGCACACATTTTCCTTTCGTTAATTTAATGTTTTATAGTACGCTAGCATTGACTTGACCTCTCCTAGTGCAACTTGATCTTCAAATTGAACACTGATCGACGTCGACGCCTTAACTAAGCTAACAGTGAACAAACTCAATGCACACTTTAGTGGTTACGATGGACCGGACGTCGACGAATGAACATCCGGTGTGCACATTGCCAGCTGGTACGTACTGGCTCAATCATCTCAATCGCATATAAAAGGTAGTTATAAGTAGCACTTTGTAAGCAGGTTTGAGGCACACTGCGAAGAATCAAAGATGGAGAAACATGCAGTAGCATTAGCAGCATTCACTTTTCTAGCCGCCCCCCTGCTGCAGCTGCTGTTGTTTGTCGCGGGGAACGGCAGCAGCTGCACCACCAGCTGCGGCAACGTGAGCTTCGAGTACCCGTTCGGCGTGGAGGCCGGGTGCTACCACCCGGGGTTCGATCTCACCTGCAACCACTCGTACAGCCGCCCAGGCTGTTCCTGGGCCAAGAAAGCAGCACCATGCATCAGGTGCTCGAGATCTCCATCCCCAACGGCACCGTGCGCATCAACAGCAGCCGCATGGTGTTTGCGTCTGCCGTTTTAGAGAACAGCACCACCATGCGGTGGGAGGTGGGTAAATCCTACTTCCTGTCGGATTTAAACATTATAGCGTTGGTAGGATGCAACGCCCAGGTCTCCCTCCGCGATTGGGGCGATACACTCGTCAACTCCTGCATCACGTCGTGCCCTCTATCACTCGACTCCGGTAATGGCTCCTGCTCAGGAATTGGCTGCTGTGAGGCAAGCATTGCTATGCACATACCGGTCTACAGCATTAGCGCCAACCAAGTGGTGGACCCGGGTGCAGGACCTGACCCTAATGAACCAAATTTTTTCGTGTACATAGTAGATCAGGCGTCGTTTTATTTCGACACCAACATGGTTACTAAGGGCATCAGCAATACTCCTGAAGCGCTCCCAGCCATGTTAAACTGGCTTATACTCAGCAATTCATCAGCGTGCTCGGCATCGACCAATGCTTCTGCACCTTCGTCTGCCCCCGAATGTTGCAGCGCCAACAGCTTCTGCAAAGGTTACAACGGTACTACTGCTGACTACGATGGGTATCGGTGCTACTGCTCCGATGGCTATGAAGGAAATCCTTATGTTGATGGTGGATGCCGCGGTAAGTATGTAGTACTACCTCCGTTTCAGATTATAAGACTTTTTAGCATTGTCTATATTCAATAGATGTTAATAAATCTAGACACACATATATGTCTACATTCATTAACATATATATGAATGTGGGTAATGTTAGAAAGTCTTATAATATGAAACGAAGGAAGTACATAATATGCTCTAGACTCTTCTTTCAATATTTTTTTTATTTGTAATTGTATTTCAATATTAACTCTAAACTCATCATTTAATATTTCTTATTTTATAATTTTGAATTTTATTTATTCTAAATTGTATTTCTATATCAACTTTATACTATTTTTCCAATATTTCTTATTTTACTTATATCTAGATTGTATTTATATATCGACTCCATACTATTTTTCCAATATTTCTTATTTTACTTATATCTAAATTGTATTTCTATATGCACTTTAAAGTCTAAAATACAATTTTAATTTTATTATATTTTATTCTGAATTTCAGTTAGTTCTAAATTTCTATATGGACTTTATACTATTCTTCAATATTCCTTTTTTAAAAATTTTGATTTTTTTTTTGTTATTTCTAAATTGTATTTCTATATGGACTCTACCCCTTTGCCTTTAATTTTCTTTTTTTTAATTCCAAATTTTAGTTGGTTCAAAATTGTATACAATATGGACTCTAGACACCTCTTTCAATATACTCCCTCTATTTTAATATATGACGTAGTTGACTTTTTTTTATGATACGTTAACAATTCTTTTTTTAGAAAAAGTTGTGTAATTATCATTTATTTTATTGTGACTTAATTTTTCATCAAATATTCTTTAAGCATGACTTGAATATATATTTTTATATTTACACAAAATTTTGAATAAGACAAATGGTCAAATATTTGTTAAAATATCAACAGTGTAATATATTAAAAAAGGAGGTAGTACCTTATTTCTTAATTCCAAATTTCAGCTATTTTTAAATTGTATTTTCTACATGGACTCTATTTTTTTTCCGATTAATATGAGAAATTCTAAACCATGAGAACGAACGTGGAGGTTTTTTTCCCTGTTACTTTAATAAGTTAATAGATTGACCGGGGATTTATTCCACACCTCAGCAAGTGTGGAATTAATCATTTCCAACAAGTCTCCTTCTATTTTCGTGAGATGAGATTAACTGAACAAACTAGGCTTTAACTATTTATAAGTGAAAACCGACTAACCTTTGCTATCGGTTTTGTCCTTGATTGGTGGATGCTATCAACTTACATTAAGTTTTATATTTATTACTTTCTTACAGAGTTATTACAGTAGAAAGACTTAGTCATATTTTTACTGTAAAAAGTCTAATAACGTATACCCTCTGTCTTACCGGCCGACATAGTGGTAATAAGTGCGTTCTTATTTTAGTCTACCCTTCTCTTATTTAATCTAACTTAATTTGTTCTGTTCGTCTAGATATCGATGAATGCAAATCTCCACACATCTACCCCTGTTACGGCGACTGCAAAAATACACGAGGAGGGTATGATTGCCAGTGCCATCATGGATACAAGGGAAACGCTTCGATACTGAATGGATGTCAAGGTACGCATATATACTCCCATCGTATCAAACTACAATTACTTTATGCCTCTCCCTATTGACAGAGAAGTACGTAATAGACAGGCAGAGTAGCTTCATAGAGAAATTTAATAATTAGATTTTTTTTGTTAATTTGTTTTAATTGACACTTGTTTGGCGAAGTCCATATATATCCCGGCCCATCGTTGGGGATAGCCTGCCAGACAAGGCCTTGTAGAGTTGCATAATAATTTTCCAACATGGCAACCCATAATTTTGATACTAAGCTATTTAGTTTCAATTCCGTTGTATTATGTAATGTAAATAAAATAAAATGAAGTTTTACTTTCATTTTTTTTAATAGATTGTCCCATAATTTTCCAGCATTGCTACCCGTCCTTCCATTATATATGCTTACTAATTTATACTTCTTCTGGGCAAATTTATTTGACGTTGATATAACTTAGTTTAGTTCATTAGACATCAAATATTTCTTAATAGAGAGAGTAATTGATAATTTTATTTTTCCCGTGGTATTTGTCTAGATATTAACGAGTGTGCGGAACCAGAAAAATACTCATGCTATGGTGGACTCTGCATAAATACGCCAGGAGCTTTTGTTTGCCGCTGCCACGACGGAAGCTACGGTGATCCCTTCACAAAAGGAGGGTGCCGTTCATCTAAAGGTGACATTATTGCACAACTATACTACGTACCGGCTATATATTAATCTATCTATGTATGCCTATGTTAATTAGAAACTTCGAAGATGTTTCACGTTAACCGAAGAAACAGTGCACAACTCTAATCATCCGCCGAATTAATGGGTGAATTAAAAAGAAGGAACCCCTACGAGTTACAAGTTGATTATCAGTAATTTTAAAATTCAAAATTATACTAAAAATATACTGACTTGAGAGTTCAAACGCAGGTAAAACATTATATTTATTAATTATGTGTTCTAAAATTATTGAACATTGAGAAAAACATAAATCGAGACATTCACTTCTTCATTTTTATTTTATAAATAATTGTATTAATAAAATATAATGTTAATGTAGAATCGTAAAGGGTATTTCTTTACCCCAAAAGCTAGCCACTAAGAATGGGTTGAATTAGTTAGTACCACAAATTTTGACAATTTAACCCTTTGCAAAAACTATTTTTACAAATGAACCACCATCAAAACTTATTTCAAAAATGACCCTTTTGTTCAGCGGCAAATCGTGTGGCGCTGAACTTAGATACCTCAGTGCCAAATAGCACGGCGCTGAATGTATGTTGGCACGCTGACTTAGCCTCCCATCCGCGGTGGCACGGCATTCAGCGACAGTTGACGTGACGCTGAGGTGTCTAAATTCAACGCCACACGATTTGGCGCTGAAAAAAATGATCATTTTTGAAATAAGTTTTGGCGGCGGTTTATTTATAAAATTAGTTTTTGCAAAAAGTTAAATTGTCAAAATTTGTGTAGTTAGTACAGTCTTCAGCTGCGACTGTGCCACTCTAGCCATGGCTACAGTGATGGGCACGAAAGAAAGGGGTCGATCGAGGAAGAACTAAGGGATATGGTGACAAAATATGTCAACAAAACCATTGCCAAGTTTACTTTCAAAAAAGAACAAAATCATTGCCAAGTAAGATGTTTAACTAGACGAAATTCTTTTGTGTGCGTACGTGCGCTTTTAGCCTTCTTTTCATAATGTAGTATAGATTTTTCAAAGGAGGTGTACCGAGGCGCACCACAATGCCCCAATTATTTATTTTTATCATTGTGCTAATGTAACTCTCGTTCCGCAATTAAAAGTTCATCCCTGCATAATCATGAAATTAGTTTCTTAATGTATCCTTTCTTCAGGTTTGACCATTGGTCTAATAGTCAGCGGTGGTTCAGTCCTTCTACTTCTAGGGCTTGCTGCTCCCTTCATAGTTCGCAAGGTCAAGCTACAAAGGGTAAAGAAAATGAGGGATAAATTCTTTATGCAAAACCATGGGTTATTATTACAACAGTTAATATCACGAAACACAGACTTCGCCGAAAGAATGATCATTACCTTACAAGAGCTTGAGATTGCTACAAACAATTTTGACAAATCTCGTGAGGTTGGTACTGGAGGACATGGGGTCGTGTATAAAGGGATTATAGATCTACATGTTGTGGCCATCAAGAAATCAAAGATTGTTGTGCAAAGAGAAATAGATGAATTCATAAATGAAGTCGCAATTCTTTCCCAAGTGAACCATAGAAATGTGGTAAAGCTCCTCGGATGTTGCCTTGAGACAGAAGTTCCATTATTAGTTTATGAGTTCATTTCAAATGGAACCCTTTACCATCATCTTCATGTTGAAGGATCTATATCATTACCTTGGGATGATAGATTAAGGATAGCTCTTGAAGTTGCTAGAGCTCTTTCATATCTGCATTCATCGGCATCAATGCCAATATTTTATAGAGATATTAAATCTTCCAATATACTTCTTGATGACAACCTAACAGCAAAGGTATCCGACTTTAGAGCTTCAAGATATATCTCAATCAATGAAACAGGAATAACTACTGCAGTTCAAGGAACGATTGGCTACTTGGATCCTATGTACTATTATACGGGACGACTTACGAGCAAGAGTGATGTTTTTAGTTTTGGTGTTCTTCTTATGGAGCTACTTACTCGAAAGAAACCCATCGGTGGTACATTTGATAATGGCGATGGTCTTGTTTCACATGTTATCTCACTTCTCTCAAAAGGTAATCTTTATAATATAATAGATTCTCAAGTTAAAGAAGAGGAAGATGGAGAAGTCCTAGAAGTGGCAACACTAGCCACAACATGTACTAAGTTTAAAGGAGAAGAGCGGCCTACGATGAGAGAAGTAGAGATGGCACTGGAAAGCATAGTTTCAAAGAAAAGCTCCTTCTGTAACAAGAACAGTCAATCAAGTAGTAGATCCGATGAAAATCGAATTTTAGCTCTTTACATGTCGATCGAAGGAGTTACCAAGGACAAAACAATTACAATTACAGAAAGCAGCACGGAAGGGGAAATACCATTGTCGTCAAGGTTTTCTCGATAATCATTCTCTGTCCTGAACGAGAACGCCTTGCAAGAAAGCCGGAAACTTAGTTACATCGATCCTGTTCTGTTCTAAATGATTGCTAAAGTAATTTTGCTGTAAAACAATAATAATGCAACAGAAAAATTGTGTCGTATCAGAACTTTGAAGTACTTGTGGTTTAGTTCATGTTGATTAAGCATCTGATTCGATCAGTTTGCTCTAATGGACTGAAATTGCAGAGTGCCGTTTGTGTTTTCATTATTCATTGAATTATTCTGCTAGCGGCTGCAGAGCCCATCGGCTCTGTAGGCGTTCATTTTTACAGTTTATCTATCGCACCCGCGAAGAAAGATAATTTCGTTCTTTCTTATAGAATAAAAAGGGAAAAAACTCACTTCTACTTATTTTTTTTAACATGGATGGAATGAAAACTATGTCCTATCACCCTCGAAGCGGTGAAAATAATGCTTCGGCCCGAGTGTCCGAGGCTCCGGACGCCTCTCCGCTCGGCCCATTTCTCTCTAGAAAGTCGAGTCCTCCATCTTCCCTTTACCATTTTTTCTCCGCTCCATCTCCGGAGAATTTTCAGAATTTGCCATCCAATACGCACTATCTTTAGGATATGCCATCCAATTCGTACTACTTTTAAAATATGTCACTGGGACGTGAATTTTCTTCACTCTATGCCACTCCGTCCGATGTCAGTCCTCGTCGTCGTTCGTCCGTCTGCTGCCGCTCGCATCCCCTTCTATCCGTCGGTGCCCCCTCCCCTCCCCTCGGGTCCATTCGCCGGCGCTGGCCCCGTCTCGCCGTCCATCCTCCGGCACCGCCCGCGTCCCCGTCCACCGGTGCCACCAACGGCGACAGTTGGACTCGGCAGCAGCTCCTCTTCACAGCATGTCCACTCGGGGGCGAGGGCGGGTGGAGAGTTCGGGGGTTGGGGCGGGGCTGGGGTCGTTCCAGCCCAACCGCTCCCGATCCACCCCGTTGCCATCCCTATTGACAAGCTTGTTTCTCATCCAGCTCATAAGGTTTTTTGTTTTGTTGGTCTTTTTTATAAGTTTCTAATGGAACATCTGCAATTGCAAGGAACTTCCAAGCTGTATTAGTAGGATCCTCCACAACTCAGCGCGATTTCAACAAAACTTGAGAACTTGGCACTTCCCTGCAGTCCTGTACTGTTCGTGTAATAACTTATACTTCCTCCGTCCCAAAAAAATAAATCTAATACGGAATGTGGCACATTCTAGCACTACGAAGAAAAAGATTACTAGCTTTTTAGGAGTAGTTCAAACGAAACAACATGTTTGCCTCCCTTTGATCCTTGCAGTTATCACCATAGATCTGCCAAACTGATATGTTCTATGCCGAACAGTTAACTGAACTTACAATGGATATTCAGTTATACATTGTCAGTGCACCAACACAAGGTGACTGAATAGTAATTCATTAGTAACTAAGTTCAGATCGCCTTATGAGTCCGATGTGTTTATCATTCCTACAAGGACAGATTCAGACGATGATTCTAGTGGCAGTGAAACATGCAGGATATGAAGAGTGGAACTGGTGCAGATTGTAGAGAGAACTGATCAAGCTAGGTACGCTCCTGTTAATCATGATATATTATGAAAAGAAACAGAAGAGATCAGAAGGGAACTTTTTCTTGTAGAGTATGCAATCTTGCTGATCAATTTACAGGGATCACTGATGTATCTACTGTTGTAAAGAACATGTGCAACAATGGAAATTCAGAACTATTGCTTTCTTAGCGAAAAAAGATAAGAAAGATATGTCTGACATGCAAGAATTCTGATTTCTGGAGGTGTTGCACTGCTCTGAAAAGTGCAGAATACCAGTATATGACTATAAGAATTTTGTAGCTGTCTTTGCCTCAACAATATCAAGTGCTTTGTTGAGGTAAACAGTTTCAGAATAGCTTTGTTCCTTCTAGAAAAAAAAAATCCCATGAAATGTTTTTCATGTCTGCTCAAGGAAATGACAGGGAAAGGTGGAAAAGAAAATGAATCACTCCTGCATTTTCTAAACCTGAATCTCAGCCAGATAATTTCCATCCAACGGATGAGACGAGCAAACCAGGGGTTCGGAGAACAATTCACCGACCCCAACCAAAGATACCCCCTACCCATCAGCACAGCCGCCGGTGAAGTTGCCGGCACTTGTGTCCATCTTGAAATCCAAAATTTTCCCTGGAAAATTTTCGGATGGATCCAAGACACCTGCAGCAGTTTCTCTTTGAAACACAAGATTTTAAAAAATAGAAATATATAATGTTACTCCTGACGGCTCATTGAATCCTACAGAAAATGAATCCACAAGTTTGTTTTCTAAAATAAATGTTTCGTACTATATAGATAAAATTTTAACAAACATGCACTTAGAATATGCCAATTTCATTGAATAGAGAGAGAAACAATGTACAAAAATATGAAAACTGTACAAAACAGAAAAAGAAAAAAGAAAGCCGGTAAATCATTTATATTTTGGAATGTGGTCAATAGCACTATCGGAGAACATGGGAATTTTGAGAAAGGAGAAGAGAAACAATAAGATCTACGTATCTTCCTGATAAATTTTCTTTAAAATTTCTATAAAATAAGCTATTCGATAGGAATTTTAAACAATTTCGAGAGGGACATTTCTTTTCTCGAAAAGGACCCTATAGGAATTAATGTGTTCCAAAGAATTTTAATCCCCTAAATTTTCTTTATTTTTTTCTTTGTTACAAAAGAGCCCTAAGTTCCGAACACGGTGAAATGAAACTGAAACGAAGGCACCACTAGCCGACACCACCGGCAGGCAGCTCGCAGCCATCTGGCCCATCTCCATCTCAACCTCTCACGGACACACGGACGATCGGTCGACGGATGGACAAAGGAACAGCCACAAAAACAACCAGTTAATTTCCATCTCAATCCACGCAACATTGGTCACTGATATATATACCCTCTAAACGGTTTACATATCAGCCATACTTAAAGTTAGACAAAAAAAAGTACTACAGTACAGAGGATATGTGTTCCATACTCGACCATGCAATAGTCACGAGCTGCCTCTTCGTCGTCTAGAGACAGACAAACAGCTTATCCTACCCGACACTACTAGAAAAAAAAATTCGTAGACGATGTGCTTTTAACTTTTCAGGCGGTCTTTTTTTTTTTGGCACCATATGTCCGCCTGCAATATAGGGGCGAGGGGCAAGATGACTGTCCGTCTGGGAAGATATCCATTTTAAGAGCTCCGCTTATATCTTTGTAGGCAGCGTGTTATCTCGTCCGCATGAGAAGATTGACCTATATAGTATTCTTCCTCCCCGAGTTGAGCTTTGTAGAGTTTACAGGAAGTTTCTCTATTCAAAAACAAGCAAAATATAGAAAGGAGATTTTGAACTTGAAATTTTCGATGAAATTTTCTACAATAATTAGATCATACATTTGCGCGACAGCCTCAAGCACGCGGATATGGATCCTCTGCAGTACTACACATACAGTAGCTGCCACTGACAGGTGGACCGGTCCCACATGTCAGTGGTAGTAGCGTCCCACATGTCAGTGGCAGCTACTACATATACAGTACTGCAGACAATCCCCACTGCAAGCACGCACATACGCAAGCATGCAAAATCGATCGATCGATCGATATTAGGTCGTCGCCGACGATGACAGGACACTCCCGGTCGATTGGCCGCGACCGTTTGTCAATGGAATATCTCTCTTTCTTTCTTTCTTTCTCGACGAGTCCAATCACATCATGATTCATGCATGGCCATCAACGGCGTGCGTGCGATCGAGCCGATGCATGCGGGCGCTTGCCGGCCGCGGCGGCGACGGCGATGCGACAGGCCGGATCGATCGCTGGTGTTGCTCGCTTTTTCTTCCCTTTCCGGCGAGGTCGATCGACAACGACGACATGAATGAATGATTCGTGAGTCAAATGTACGGTGGACGACCATGCACCAATCAGCCCGGCTAGTGCTAGTGCTAGTGCTATCCCCACACGACCACTCTCTCGAGTTCCCCTAGATAGATCCTGTTTCTTTTTTCTTTTCCTGATTCATGGACGTTTTCCATCCTCTTTGGTTATGAAAATGCGCCGTTTTAGATATTGGCACGGTCTCAACATATATTTAATTTTAACATGTCATTTTTAATTTTTTATGTATCTGTACAGCTCGGAAATACAATTTTAACTCCTATCGTAAATATTTGCACATATAACTGGAAGAGCTTACGATATTAAAAGAATGCGTGTTTTTTTTTCATTTTAAAAGTTTGACTTTAGAGATAGTATGTTTTCATGGTCATAACCAGACTAGCATAGTACTTCCTCCTTCCAAAAATCTGAGACCTATTTTATTCTTTGGTTTCTCTAAAAATCTGAGTCATATTTGGAGTCACTATGTGCTAAATTAAATTGTTGACCAGAAACCAAGAAGCCATTTTAGTACTTATTGGTTGCATGTTCATTATTTTTGCCACATGGTGAGTGAGTTAATTGCTTCTTGGTTTTGATGAAAAAGAAATAGGTATCAGATTTTTGGAAGGAATGAGTAGCATATAATATTATGGTGATGTTTAAAAAACCACCATTATATCTCTATTAATTTAAAGCCCATTCGCTGCTCCCCATATATATATTAGCACCCAACCATTGTCTTCACCAAAAAAAACCAAGCAATTGATTAATAAAAAAAACTGGCTGTATTAGTTGCTTTCCTCACTCCCAGCCCATTTCTAATTATACAGGCCCGTTGTAACATATCAGTAAGTTACTCGTATTAATTAGTATTAAAGGCATAAATTAATTTTCCTGTTATGAGTGCGTCTTGTTAAATTAACATGTGGTATAATTGGAAGAGGTTGTACTGTACATGGTGTTTCATCATAGGTTTGTAGAATCTCTTGTTAAATAATACAGCAATCATGTGGAGAAAATGTGTACTTTTGGGTGCATATAGTACAATTAGTACTAAGCAAGATTTGTCCATCGCATACTAGCTGTCGGCTGCGCATCTCTGCCTTCATTTCTCAGTCAAATAGCTAATCATTTGGGGAAAGTAGATTTGTTGGAAGCAAAGAAGCCTTTTCTTTTATTTCTTCTCCTTTTATGCCTGCCTAATTTCACTGGCCTGAAAGTGAAGTCAGTTGTCATACGGAGTGACATGACAATAGATAGATTTATTTGAAGGACTTGAGGTAGGTAGATGAAAGAAAGCCTTTGTTTCCATCCTCCCCTATTCA